ATATTATTTCTGTTGCGGACAAACTCGGCCAACTGACAGCCGACAAGGCAATGTGTCAACCCAAAGAGCCAAGAAAGAAGGAGGCAGAACGAGGCGAAACAGAATAAAGAAGCAGCCCAAAAAGAAAAGCCTGATGAAAATCTGGGAGCTCTGGAGTCTGGACGCAGTTTCTAGTGCTTTTTCTCATACCTGAGGTTTCTTGGTGGCAGCCAAAAGTTGACAACTTCTTTTCAGTTAGCGGTGACTCCTGAAATTAGTTTGGCCTTAAATATGCAAACTTGCAAATGGAATGGAATGGAAATTGGACAAGAGACAGTGGAGAAGTTCGGGTCAAAAGGAAATGGCCTGAATGAAATTTGTAGCCGAAGAAAATACATAAATTTAAAAACGTAGTTTCCTTTGGTTGGGGAAACTAAAAAAAAAGTTGTCCATATAATTAAATGTGTGTTTGTTAAGGAAGCTTCGAAAAAAGTTTAAGTTTTCTTTAAGATATTATTTATTTATTTTATTTACGATACAAATGTATTTAAGATCTTTATAACTTAATTTGAATTTTTCATAAGTTTTTTTTGTTTTTGTAAAATTTAAGTTTTAAAATGTAACACATAGATAGAGTCACGGTTATTTTATATACTTCTTTTTGCTATGTGTGTCTGTTTTGGTTTTTGTAAGGATTGGTGAAAAACAAATTATTTTTGGATAATCTAAAAACAATGAAGACTATCTAAAAATCAGTGGTTTCTCATCAATCTTTACAATACCAAAAACAAAAACGGACATACATATCAAACATGTATTCCATCATTTTTCGTGACTTTAGCTCAGCACTTGACAACCAATTCGCCAGCTTTGTAGGAGGCCAAATCAACTACAATTCATCACCAACTGGATGACATAAAAGCACTCTGCTATATCCACCGAATACCGCCAATACCATTCCCCCTTTGGTCTGTGGAAAGTTTCCCTACCAGCGAACTTTGGTCTGCATAATTAATGAATTTACACATGCATAATTATAATTACTAGCAGCCAACAGCGACTAACTGCCAACTAACTTTGGTAGGGGATGTGGAGGGGGCGTGATGCTTAATGAAGTCAGATTGCTCTGAGTAAACAACAGTAACAAAAAACAACAAGAACAACTTCATCGAAAATTCAAACCAATTGGCAATTTGTGAGCCAGCTTTTTGTACTGAAAACCCCAAGCCCCTTTTTTTTGCAATGAGACCATGTTAATTAGCTGTTTGTTGGCTAGGGAGGAGCGGGTCTGGTTTTAAGGGCGTGTAACTGTATAAAATTGCATCAAAATTGTTCAAACAGGGCCCAGTCGAACAACAACGAAAACAGCAGAAGCGGAAGAGGAGCACTGAAAAAAAATATTTCCATTTCAGACCTGACTTTATACAAGTGCCATTTATTCTAAAAATTGTGAATGTACATGTAAAATATTTTAATGCAATTTAAAAACCGCTCCGATAATTTTATATATATGAAAATTATAGAGTATTTAGTTTACGTATTACTGCATTTACAGGACTTTTTTTAAATAAAACATTATTTTCTGTGTAGAAACATTGAACTTAGTCACGCCCCGTTCCGCCCCTTTTTTGACCTAGCTTGATTACTGAATAATTGAGTGCTGCGTATAATGAAATTCGTATTCAAAATTCGTCGTCATTCAGTTGCCGCCGTTGAATCAGAATCAGACTAAATGTTTGCCGAGCCAAGGGGCTGATGGAGGGGGTGGAAGTGGGTGTGTGTAAGAGTGGGTGGTAGGAGGCAGGGGCTTTCAAAAGGTGAGTAAGTGCGTTTGTGTGTGCGTTCCTGTGTCTGTGTTTGGTTTGCGTAGCCGACTTGCATACGTAATGCTCTTCCTCCCTTTCACCAACTCCCCAACGCTTTGCCTACCCTCTGTTGCCATGAAACCGCCCCCTCGCCCTCATCATCGCAACATCATTCAACGCTTTTATAGCCATTCAACTTGACGCATCCGTTTTGGCCAAACTTTTTGGCCTGGGCCGCAGCTGAATGGGCCACGAGGCCATGAGCCAAGTTCCACGAACTGCTGTTGCTGCTAACGAGTGGGTGGTTTAAGAGGTTTTATTCTTCAAAGCAGATAAATATTCCAAGAAACAGAGAATTATTTAAATCGGAATTTATATGAATTAGCGTTTATTAGCTACTAGAAAAGATTTGGTATTAGGACATTGTTTGGAATTTATATTATTCTCTTGTCGTGTGTTTTAAAAGTCGTAAATCATGGCTTAGGCCTACATTTTCAAGTAAAGTTAAACATGGATTATGGGAAAACAATTGCCTTAAGCTCAAAAAGAAAAGATTGTGTTATTGTAGTACAGTTAATTTTCGACTTTACCTAATACGTATATTTAATGTTACAAGACGAAAACATTACTTCTAAAATGAGCTATATTTTAAAGCAGAACAAAAGAAATATATATGTAAGTAGTAAAACATAACAAAAGAAAAAAGTATATATGTAAGTAGTAAGCCCTAAGATGATTTTCTCTAAATTTCCTGAAAACCACTGCTGTCATTTTTGAACGATATTTCCCAAAATATTTTGAGCATAGTTAGACATAACTTTCGTAGAAACGTACAGCTTAATACTTATACAACAGGCGAAATATCTTATACATTAAAGACCACATTAATAGCATACTTTAGGCCACCCTCGCAGGGGGCTTAAAGGGAACTGCAGCATGGAACTTGGGGCAGGGGCAAGGGAATAGGAATAGGAGTAGGAGCTGAACCAGGAGCGGAACCAGGACTGCGGAGCTGGCAAGGCTCTATCCACCGAGCTCCAACAACGAACGACTAACAAGCCGCGTTCGCTTCATTATGTGGGCTCTCCTCCGTATTACCGCGTTTATGTCACTTTTCACTTTCTCACTCGTTGACTGTCTTTTTTCCATCTGACCCTCCCTTTCGCACTGCCAACGCTGGTGTGTCATTTCGCTTGGTTCATATAAATTGTTTTGGGATTTAGTCGCACGATTTTCCTGCCTCTCCCCGCGTCACTGCCCCTCCACCGGTTCCATTGCCAATCCCCAGACTCGGCTCACAGCTCCGGCTCATTATTGTAGTCGGTTCGTTTCTGTTCTTTGTTTAATGACATCATTCTATATGAAAAATTGTAGTTGCATACAGAATGGAATACGGAAAGGGACCGGGAAGAAGGATAGGGACGGGTAAGCCCTGACAAAATTATAAAGTTGAGCAATGATTAATGTCGGTTCCACTTCCCTTGCTTCCTATCACGCATATATCGCCTGCGTAATAATCCTTGTCATGAAATATTTCGTCAGGGACATGAACATTGCTTCATAAAATCCAAAAAAGTTAAAAGAGACAGAAAGAGAAACAAAGTTCTTCGTTTTTATATTTTTTGGAAGCAAGTCCGGAGTCACGTTTCTCAAAGGAAAGCGTATGAAAGGCAAATGAAAAGGCCAGGGAAAACGACAGATAAGCGTTTGGGGGATCACAAATTAAATGTGCCGCCAGAAAAAAGCTGAACATGTTCCACATTATTTGGAAAACCAAAGAAACAATAAATAAATCAAAGGGTTCATACAAATTACTCTATTTTAGCTAGTTGTCCCAAAATATATGATATTTTTCAATTAATTTTTTATAACAAATAGTGCTTAAAACTTCGGCTTAATCAAAAGCCACAGGCTTAAATTAAAACTATCCTTCCACGCTCACTCCATTTTGTATTACCCCATTTACATTGACATAAATCCCTAATCTAGATTGCCTTTAAAGGCACGTAGTAAAACCCTTTAGTGGTAATGTCCTCACACTCTAATATAGATATGAATCCCAAGTCATTAACCACAAAATGGTGATGAGGACGATGATGAGGCCAGGTTCTAACCACACACATCTTGCCCATATCGCCTTTTCGCTAAATTTGAGTACCACAACAACTGAAATAAACCTACCCGAGCGGGAAATTCTTTAGTTTCCCTTTAGAGAAATCTCCGGCACACATTGACAGGACTCTTGGCCAATATTTGCTAAGAGCCGTGCAAACAGGGTGCCGCGTGCATTGTGTGCACATTAAATACCGCATAAATTAAATTAATTGCCAAAGTTTATTTTTCATTGCCCAAACGAGGCTAAAAGAGGAAGAGAGACGGCGAGTATGTAATCACTTTTCATTGTGTGCCAATCTTCGCAAAAAGTTTTCAGCACTTAGCTATGCAAGGGGGGAAATTTTCCGTGTGGCATCTTGCGGTGGCATAATTAAAATTTAAATGGCTTCAAAGTAAGCATTCGCCTATATAACACCCTTTTATAACCATCAACCTCGCCATTTTACTTTTCTGCCAATAAGTGGCAACCCTAGCGGCAACCGACAGCGTGTAACGGTAAAATACAAATGTCAAACTCTGGAGCAGCTGCCTTTTGTCTGAAATTCTAATACTGGGTTTATGCGCAGCCCAGTTGATGAAATTGTGATTTTACGTTTTGGAAACAGACAATTTACAACAAACTGCAAGCAATCTATGAATTCACGAATTTCATCGCATAAGCGCTGTTTATGAGAAGAGTTTCGTTTTCTCCGGAATTTTCATGAAAATCCATGCTAAAGGAAAATTTCCCCAGTCTGCAGTCGAATTAATTGTTCCCCTGGTAAAAAGGGGAACCAAAAAAGAGGGTGAGAGGGTGTTCAGTTAACAAACATCTAACTGTCTTTTTGGCAACTTTACTCTCCCACTGGGTACAATTAAAAATTATGTTTATATTTATTTCCTCTCCCTTTTCTGTTAGCCATTAAAAGGACACTCGAAAAAAGACGAATAAACAAACTACGGGATGGAAACGGAAATGAAAATACAAAATGGCCGTCAATGTTGACAGCTGACATTGCAGGGGGTTGGATTTCCTTTAGTTTACAGACACAGCGAAGGGTTGCATATGTTTTTAATTAAACTATGTACTTATATGAATACCCTTTTTCGCAAAAGACCTACCTTTAATGATGAGTGGATCGTGTCATAGGTGCTAAAAGAAAAAAAGAATACTAGGTCTCATTAATATGATTATTTAGTTGTATATTAAAGATTCAAATTTTAAATTCATTCAACTAGCCTACACCTGCTGAACATATTTTGTTTAATTCTATCGAACCGATGAAATTATACATATCCGCCTTGGTTAAGCAATTTAGCTGTTTAAGGTCTCAAATTAATGTGATTATCATATAATAACATGAAACTTCGGTTTCGGTTGAAGGGGGCCGTGATGTTTTTCATTCGAAATGCTTTTGTTTTCACTTTTTCATGTTCTTGCTTTTCAGCGAAAAATCGGCAACTACATGAAAAACGCATAAGCCCAGATCTCCATTCTCAGTTCCTGCCTTTAGTCCGCGACCCGCTCGAAGAGCTCTTTCCACGTTGTTGCTATTGTTATTCCTGCTGGCCATTTCACTGTTTTTGACCAGAGGAAGCGGGAGGGCAACAGCGAGCGAACGAGACAGGCAATGCGGGACAGCGGTAACGACACCAATATGCATTTATACGAGGCATCGGTTGCAGATGCGAAAACATCAGCGTACAGAAAAAGAAACAGAAACACTGCGAAAATACAACAGACAGCGAAACAAAAACAAAAAGAGATCTCGAAAAAAGACCAAAATACAATGCGAATGTTTGCTTTGGGGGTCCGAGGAGTGGGTGCAATGTTATGAGGGGTGTCTACGAAGTTCTATAAGCTGCGCTTTATAACTCATATGGGCTTGTTATGTGCCATGTTATCGTCTTGTTGTTGTACGCATTTGTCTTGATACTCAACTCGTTTTTTTGCCTCCTTTTTTGGCTTTTTAATATGGATGTTCAGGCAGGGTATGAAAAAGGACATACGAGATTATTTGTAGAGGGCCTAACCAGTACTAGTTAGTTATTATAATTCCTAACTGTTAATTCTTATTGATAAACTCGAGAATAGCTAATGACTGGTAAATATTTATATAAATACCATCTTTTTAAAGCTATAAAATGTATTAGTCTCAGAAGCAATAGTGAACCAATCAAGTGAATTAATATTCACTGCCTTTCCTGTTGATAAACGATCGCATGCCAATTATCGATCGATTGATCACCTCCTTTTTATAACAGGGCAATGGCCAGTCCATCTATGGTTCACGTCCTCCTCCTTTTCGAGGAGTGGGCGGTAGGGAGAGGAGCAGCAGAACGGGAGCGGAGCAGACAGGGAAAAATGCTGTTAAACAAGTTTTGGGATTTTTCAGTTCTCGTATTTTTTTTTGTCCAAGCTTGCAGTCTGTCGAGTGCGTGCCTTATGGCTGGCATGGGAATGAGAATTGGTTTTAACGTTCTCCTCTTTTTTCGCCACTTTTTTTCCCCATTTTTTATTTTGCAGTTCTGTCTGGGAGTAAACAAAGTGCGGAGGCACTTAATAAGCAAAGTGTTTGCCATGCATCAGCAACAGAAACTCGTTTATGTAACACTCCTGACAACTTGTACTGCCTTATCGATATTACTAAATTAAAACTCCTCAAGCCATGAAAACGTTCAGTGTAGGTAAGAAGGTGCCAACTTGTCATCAGCAAACGATGTTGGCCAAAGTTTTCCTCCCGAATTCAATTTGAGATGCGACAGCAACGGCAAACAAATTGAAGCTGCCCCAAAGCGACGAAAAAGTCGAACTCAAATCTGGAGGGGAAGAATGAACTTCTCGGGTGTTTCGCTTCAGAGATTGCCGACTTGCTGGGTAAAGTTTTATGGCATCCCGCTGCCCTTCACCCTCGTGCTTCGTAAATTACGTTACGTATACGCAACGTTGGCAAACACATAAAGTATTCACATTATGAATATAGAAAGAAGTAAACGCAGTAAATTAGGTGAAAAATTCAATAATTTTGCCAACCAAATGGGGACAGCAAACACGGAGGGGAGTGTAAACGATCTGAGTGTTTGAGGTTTGTGCCCTTGAGTGGAAACTCAAGAGGGTAAACATTCTGAAGGATGCCGATAGCATAAACATTATGTAATGAGAAAAACATTAGGAGTGGACTATTATGGCTGTAATGGACGTTGAGACTTAGGGAATTTAATTTAAAATTTGGTAATTTCATTTTGTTAAAGTTTTTAATTTGAAAACACAGATTTATTTGGATTTTTCTTAACTACTTTTAAAGTCAGAGCAAAAATGCAGTTAGCTATCAATTATCCATTAAACTTTTTTACTATCAATTTCATCCGGCTAACCGCTTAATCTTTATCACATTGTTCTTGCAGATACAAAATTCAGAAGGGAACTATCCACTAAGTTGCCACAACTTTTGGCCTCCTGCCAGCCGTAATTGGCCTGGCTAGCATGAAAGCGGCAAGCAGGCAACACCCAAAACAAAATTACACAATTAATAAGAGCAGCCAACAAACCAGAACACCAGGAAAGCAAGACAAACAACAACAGCACAAAATAACCACAACATTTAAGGCAAAAATCTGCACTTAAGAAAAGGGCCAAAAGAGGAAAAGGGTTGGGGAATTGGGTCCAGAGAAGTGAATGCGTGGGAAAGTAAGCATATTCCGCTTCTCCTGCCCAATCTTGACTCCTATCCGAAAAGCGACTCAAAAATTAATCAGGCGAACATAATGCAACGAAGCCAGATGAGGCAAAGGAATGCGATAAAAACGAAATGCGGATCTTCAATGTATTGCCGGGCATATATAGATAATGAAATACGAGGTCCCCGCAAGACCAAATCAACCGCAGCCCACTACGCTCTCCCAGTCCCGGAATAAAGTTTCTCTCCTTCCCCAATCCCTCCCTGCCCCATCATTTCATCCTGGCCCGAGGGCAGACAGGCCAAAATAATGGAGCCAATGGCCATGGAACAGAACAACAGAATCTACAGTAAAAGCACCCAAAAATGGTTAACAAAGCAAAACATAAACAAAATTATTTGCGAATTCGTAATACCCTGAAGGTATGACCGGGCAATACTGAAAATTAAATGGTAAACAGACGAATAGTGATGTTGATACACTACGCTTTAATATTCTGTTACAATTGGCAATGTAAATAAATAGTGTTCCTTGTTTTTCAGTACATTAATTTGCTTAATTTAAGTATATACTTCTAAAATTAAATAAAAGCATATACACTTTAAGTGCTTTATGTCTTAGGCATTGAGTTTATTTAAATCTTAATTAATTACCCATTTTGTGATGAATTTAGAGCCTTAAGATAAGGTTTTGATACTAATTTAATATATTTGAACTATTTTAAGAGTTAAGTTATATTCTTTACGATGTCTTTTGTCAATATCAAATGGATTTCCAGTATTAACTCAAGAAGCTCAAGTCCATGTTCAGAAGATTCATTTCCCCTTTGCCAAATAGTTCAAGTACTGCTTGGCGAAAGAGTAGAGGCAAACAAATAAAGTAACCAAAAGACCACGAAGACAAGGACGACAAGGAAAAAGCTCATAACCGAGGTCCTGGTGCTTGGCATTTTTGGGCAGCAGCTGCCAGACAATGCCACGCCCCCGCCTAAGCACATATGTGAGAGGGGGGGTTGTGAAACTCAAGTCTGGAAAATATAGAGTTGGGGGAAAAGCAGGGGGCTCAAGTGCAATGCCTGCCCTGGGGGCGAAAAGAACAAGATATGGCCATAGACGAGCGCCCGACTTTCTTATCTGGGCGGGGAGAGTTTTTTCTTTCTCCCGGCTCTCTCGTTTGTTTTTCCCAGCGCATGGAATTGCAAACATTTTCCCCGAGTCATCTCAAGAGTGGAAAATGGGCAAAAAATAAAATAATAAAACGGAAATACTTCGCTCTTCAGCCAATACTCATTAGATTTGTGCAAATACTTTGCTGGCACCGCCTTGGCCCCCTCCTTTTACTAATGATGGCTTCCCCTTCCCAATTTTAAAAGTAATTCCAATGCTTACGCAATTTTTCATTTCGCGCTCGCTGCGCAAATAAATCAGAAAATTCCCAGTTTTTTTTAACGAGCCACCAACATTTTTGGCTTGCTTTCTTTCCTTCGTTGGGAAAGTTGTGCTCTGGGAGTGACCTGCAATGTTAAGGCAAATAAATCGTTCAAGCTTTCAGTTTCCGTTCCGATCGAATGTAATCAATGCCGAGCACTTCACATTTCAAATATGTTTGCCATTACCCGACGTATTTAAGGGGAGTTGAGGGGGACTTTGACTAATAAGTTGCTCTTTTGAAGCCAAAAGTCAATGAGTGAAATTCAATAAGCAACGTTAAAGATTGGTGTGGCATTGAATAAGCTTGCAGAATTTATAAAATACACATTGACAGGTGGCAGTTTAAAGTTTATTTACTACGGCAGTTAATCTTAAAAAAATTTTAGTTTTAAAGATAATGTTAACCAATGATCAAAATCATAGGAAAAAAATAACCCTTTAAAAGTGTTTGTATCGAAGTCCCACAGAGACTCACACTCACTAAGATTTTAATTCATAAAAATGAATTTAAATATCATACTGCTGACTTGATTTGTGATTTACCTATTTAAGTGGGCATTAAATATAAATCCTTGGTAATTGTATCATTGTATCTGTTTCTGATTACATTGATTTGTAGATTGCGACTTGTAGCATCTACTTGGGAATTAGTTCCCAACTGTCCTGAAGACAAAACCATTACAATTTCCCATGCCTGCACAATTCTCTGCTCGACATTCTTCTTTCGGCTCAGTGAATAATCCTGTTAACATGGTTTTCATCCCCACTGCCGTCTTCCGCATTTGGAATTCAATAATTTCCATTTGTTTGCTACATGGTTGCCCTGCTTGGCATACTCTCCTCAATTAGCTACCCTCCACCCATGGAGTTGCACGAAATGTGCTCACATTTGGCCACAAATTAAACTAAACCCACTTATGGCAGCTGCCTTGTTTGCTCCTCTGCGCCTTCGGCAATGCGAAATCTATGGATAATGAAGGGGATTCGGGATGGTTGGGGTAGGGAAATAGTGGGGAAGAGTTATAGTGGAGGTATACACGAGGTGGAATGGCAGCTAAAGGCGA